ACCGCGGCCCGCGCCGGGGCCCATCCACGCTGGGTGCAGCCGGGCTCCCCACTCTGCCAGCGCCGCGGGGGGCTGCGGCGCCGCTCTGCAGCCACCCACTCGCCCCATCCCTCGGCACGTTCCTGGGCACAGGGCCCAGCGCCCTGCAGGGGCTGGGCTCTGCCTTACGCCCTGTGTCCTCCCTTGCTCCCAGCTGGGCAAGAAGATCGAGATGGTGCTGATGGTTTACGACTGCGAGGGCCTGGGCTTGAAGCACCTCTGGAAGCCGGCCGTGGACACGTACGCAGAGGTGAGGGGCTCCGCGGTGCCTCTGCCCCCAGCAGGGATCAGCTCTGCTCTGGGCGTCTCCAGCGCGTGTCCCTGCGGGGGGGACGGATGTGCTGCTGTGCACAGCCCTCCTCCCTTGTTGTTCCCGAGCTGCTGTGTTGACTCGGGGATCCGGTCTGACTCGCTGCCGAGGGCTGATGCAAGAGCAGATCCTTGCAGGAGCCTGGCTGGGGGCAGCCCACCCCACAGCAGCTTTAAGGGATCCCTGGAGCTCATGGTGGAGCTCGAGGTGTCCCATGCGCTGCCCCACACTCCTCTGTGTGTCCCCAGTGAAGCCCAAGCAGGGAGTGGGGCAGGGAGAGGTTCAGGGCTGGAGGGCAACCATGGGGCTTCCCTTTGAATAAAGCTCTCCTCATCTTGCAGCTCCTGTCCATGTTTGAAGAGAATTATCCCGAGTCCCTGAAGCGCCTGTTTATCGTGAAAGGTGAGGCCAGCGCCAACCACGCTCCCTCAAACCCCGTTTCTGGGCCAGCACCGCTGTAACGCTCGGGCTCTGTTCCCCAGCTCCCAAGATCTTCCCGGTGGCCTACAACCTCATCAAGCACTTCCTGAGCGAGGACACGCGCAAGAAGGTCGTGGTGCTGGGATGTGAGTTGAGCTCAGGCCCTGTTGTCCGTGTCCCAAAGGCCACCCTGGCTCCTCCAGGGACTGCAGGGCAGGGAAGAGACCTGTGGGCTGCTCCCAGGCTCTGTGGGGATCCCCTGGGGATCTATCCGCACCACTGTCCCCACTGGCCTGGAATGTCCCAGCAGGGCAACCCTTTGGCCAGGTTGAGGGTTCACCTGGGGGTACTGGCCCCCCAGGAAGCCCCCTGACTTGCTGCCCTCTCTCCTGCCAGCCAACTGGAAGGAGGTCTTGCAGAAATACATTGACCCCGAGCAGATCCCTGTGGAGTACGGGGGCACCCTCACAGACCCTGATGGGAACCCCAAGTGCCCCAGCAAGGTAGGAGGAGATTCCTGCTTTCTCCTTTGTGTGTGCAGGTGGCAGCAGTGCCCCCTTCTTTCGCCTGGTTCCAACTCCTTCCAGATTAACTACGGCGGGGACGTGCCCCAGAAGTACTATGTGCGGGACCAGCTGTCGCAGCAGTACGAGCACACGGTCGTGGTGAACCGGGGCTCGTCCCACCAGGTCGAGTACGAGATCCTCTTCCCTGGCTGTGTCCTCAGCAGCCGGGCCGGCCGCGGGGCAGGGGCTCCCTTGTGAAGCGGGGCTGGGGGCGATGAGGACCAGGAGGAGGTGCTGTCCCCCATGTCAGGCCCTGACTGTGTCCACGTTTTTGGCAGGTGGCAGTTCAGCTCAGAGGGGGCTGACGTGGGGTTCGGGGTGTACCTGAAGACCAAGATCGGGGAGCGGCAGCGTGCAGGCGCCATGACTGAGGTCTACCCCAACCAGCGCTACAACTCGCACATGGTGCCCGAGGACGGCTCCCTCACCTGCTCCTCGCCAGGGGTCTGTGAGTGTCCCCTCAGCGTCCTCCCAGGGTGACCTTGCTATGCCAGCCGCAGCGGGGGATGCAGGAGGGCCGCAGCACGAGGGGGACAAGTGGCCCATGTGGGGACTCGGGAGGGCTTGTGTCACCCCCGTGCACAGCAGGGGTGCGTGAGGGATGGGGTGCTGATCCCCTGCGCCCTCATGCCTGCAGATGTGCTGCGCTTTGACAACACCTACAGCTACATCCACACCAAGAAGGTCAGCTACACCGTGGAGGTCCTGCTGCCGGACAAGAGCTCGGAGGAGCAGATCCAGAAACTGGGGGACAAGATGAGCGAGGTGGCCCTCAGTAACAGCCCTTAACGCCTGCACCCGGTGCCTTACCCTGCCGGCTTCCCCCAGCCCTGCGCCACGGCCCCGCTGCATGGTGGCCCCTTGTGCCCTCTGTCACCCTGCCTCGAGGGGACCGTGAGTGAGAGACGCGAGAGGGCGCAGGGGCCGCTTCCCCTGCCCGATGTTGATGGTGGCCTTGCTGCTTTTTTGCTGGGGGCAGCCAGGGCACAAGGGAAAGACTTCAGCCCTGGTGCCCCATGAAGTCAAGCGGGGCCGAGCCTGCCCCTCATGCCAGCCCTGGGCTTTGCACCCTCTGGCTGGGGCAGGCCTCCGCTCCCTGCACTGAGCGGGGTCCCCTGAAGCACGCACACGAGCACCCTGCACTTTTGGGGTGTGCTGACCCCGAGCGGCTGCTCTCCGGCCCCCAAGGACAGCACCGGCCCATGAAGGAGACCGACCCCAGCCCTGAGGGCCACCATGAGGACGGAGCCCCCGGGCCTGTGCCCAAGGAGGGGCAGCTGGGGCCGAGGGGCAGGGACTCAGGGGTGCCTTATGTGAGCGGGGTGGCCCCCGCAGCGCGGGGCACGCTGTGGGAGTAAAGGGATGGACAGAGCTGCGTCTCGCCTGGTCTCTGGGGATGGGGCCAGCGGTGCCACTGGGCCCAAGGGCTAGGGGACGCTGCAGGGCCCTGACCAGCCCTGTAAAAGCACCTGCTGTTTTGCCAGACCCCAAGGAGGCCCCATAACCAGCTCCTGCTGAGCTGTCAGTCACATAACATGCAAATGTTGTATCCCCAACCCCACAACTGGCTCTGATCGTGTCCCCAGCACCACAACTGCCCCCTATCGTGTCCCCAGCCCCGCGGCGGCCCCGATCGCTCCCCCAGCCGCGCTGCCCCCCGCCCCGCGCTGCCCCGCCCTCTGCCGCA